TCGTGGTCAGGTGGGGGATGAATTATTGCAGGTAGGGTTGTTTTGTACTTGCGTCTGTTCAACAGCTCTGCTGGGGAGGCTAGATTGGATTTGAGTGCAGTAGTGCGAAGACACAGAAGGGCGAGGTTTGGGTCATCTCCTGATGCATGGCATTTGGTGAGGATTTTCTTCACAGTCTGAACATGCCATTCGATGAATCCATGGCCTCTCGGGTAGTGAGGTGACTATGTCTGGATGCGAAACCCATATTGATGTGCGAAGGTTTGAACTGCAATGAGGTGAATTGAGTTCCGTTGTCACAGATGATGATGTCTGGAATGCCTTGTTGTGCGGAGAGGATTCACAATACCCTTGTCACAGTACTGGTTGTGAGGCTCTCCAGTTTGTGAATAAATGGGAATTTGGAAAAGTAATCTGCAACAATCAAGTACCGGGTCCCATCATGGTGGAAGAAGTCTGCTTCAAGTGTGTGCCATGTACATAGGGGCACATCCGTGGCTATCATGGGTTCACGCAGCTGTGATCGCTGGTACTTCTGGCAAACCTGGCAAGCTGCTACAGTGTTGTCAATGTCTTTGTATATCCCTGGCCAGTAGACACTGGTTTGGGTATGAAGCTTGCACTTTTCCATGCCCTGGTGGCCACTGTGGATCTGTTGCAGAATGTCACACTGCAGTTTGTTGGGAATAACAATTCTGCTCTCAACGAGTGCTACATCATCCCGAACTGACCAGTACGGTCTGATAGAGCGGTGAACCTTCTTGATGCTGTCAGGCCAGCCTTCGGCAATCTGCTGCTTTAACAGTTGGAGAGTAATGTCTCCTGTTGTTTTGTGCCTGACTTGCTCTAGCTTCGTCGGTGTGTTGCTCACTATGCTATGAATGCGTACTTGCATCTCAGGGATTTCATGCTTCTCAAGGGGGGGAAAGGCGTGAGAGTGCATCAGTGATAACCATTTCCTTTCCCGGTTTGTAACATATCTCAAGGTCATAGGCTTGCAGGCGTAAGAGGATTTGCTGTAATCTTGGAGGAGCCTGCATCAAGTTTTTCTTATGGATGTGCTGGAGTGGGCGGTGATCAAACTCTACGGTGAATTTTCTCCCGTATAGGTACGTGTGGAGCTTTTCACATCCATACAGCACTGCTAGCAACTCGCACTCTATGTTGGCATATCTGGTTTCTGCTGGTGTCAGTGCTTTTGATGCAAATGCTATGGGACGACCGTTCTGAACCAGGGCTGCACCAAGGCCTCTGGTTGATGTGTCCACCTGTAGCGTTACTGGCTGCCTTTGGTCATAGTATGCGAGAGTGGTTTCTGAAGCTATGAGGGCTTTGATGAGGTTGAATACCTTGGTGTGTGACAGGGACCATTCCACATCTTCTCTGAGCTGTTCTCGCAAAGGTGCTGTGTGTTCTGCCAGCTTTGGTATGAATGGAGCCATGTAGTTCACAAGGCCGAGGAACGTGCAGAGTTGCGTTTTGTTTTCTGGGGGTTGCATTTCAGCTACTGCCTTAGGGCCGGCGACCATTTAGACCTGGTTTGAAAAGGGCCCCCCAGTAAGCTCGCCCTGTTGCAAAAACCCCTTTCATACCGACCTGGGATGCTGGACTGGTTGTTGATCTCGAACTTCTCCATCCTGGGGTGTATTGTTTGCAACTTTACATTCCAGTAGCCGTTCTTGGCATCAAGCTTGCTAAACATCTTAGCACTGGTGAGTTTGGGTGTGATTTCTTCCAGTGTAGGCACAGGGTAGTGATCTCTCTTAATTGCTCAATTAAGGTCTTTTGGGTCGAGGCATATGCGTAGTCAGCCAGTAGTTTTCTCATGAATCACCAGTGAATTGACCCAGTCGGTTGGTTTTGATACTTTGGCAATGACAGCAGTGTCCTCCATCTTGTCTAGCTCCCTCTGAAGTTTGTCTCTGATTGCTAGGGGGACTCTGCGTGGGGGATGTATGACAGCCTTGGCTTCTGGGTAGAGGGTGATGTGATATTTAAAGTCTTCAAAATATCCAACAGTATCACCAAAGCATTATGGGTACATTTCAAAGAGTTCGGCTTTGTTGTTGGTCTTTTGCCTCTTCTGCAGTGGGGTGATGCTGGAGATGTACTTTAAAGACCAGTTTGACAGGTGCGTTTCATTTTCACCTACTGGTGGGTCCTTAAAGTGGACTTTCCGTTGTGTGTCACCTCCAAACATCAGTGACTGTTGGTGGTCTGGACTGCCTGCCTGCACAGGTATGGTAGTCTCCAGCACTGGCAATGTCTCAACGGTGCAGTGCAGTGTAAGCAAGTTCAAAGCTTGCCATGCCTTTAAGCCAAGGATTGCTGGGCCACTGCATCAGTGACGTAAAAAAAGTGCAGTTGTGTTTTGTGTCCTTGTATCGGCAAGGGATTCTCACTGTGCCCAGCTGACTAATCTTAGAACTGCCATATGCAGTGAGTGCCATGTTGTTCTTGTCAAGTGCACCAGGCAATGGGTTGCCATCACTATCCAGTTTCTCAGGATAAATGATGCGGAACAGATGCACAGGTAACAAGTTGCTCTGCACACCTGTGTCAACTTTACACTGCAGCAGTATTAGCCGCCCACCTTTCTGGGTTATGTCAAGTTTATGTCTTCAGTTTACGGCTGCCATCAGGTAATGCTCTATGGTAGCATTTAAATGACAGAGACTTGTCTTTGGAGTTTACAAGGACTAACTTTTATTCTATGCGGGCAGCCATCTTTTCTTGTGTTACATAGGCAAAAAAAGGGATGGCAGCAGAGGGCGCTATTCACTACGCACTAACTACATGTATGTGGATATATGTGCATACTGTGGCAATCGGCCGACGTCAGCGAGCGGTCTAGTCTGGCAGCGAATAGAGCAGGCCTGTTTTGGGGCAGTCTTCCGCCAGATGCAGCAGGAGAGCAGCACAGGTGGCACTGGGGTAGAGGACAGGGTGGGACACAGGGAGCATCACAGACACAAACGGACACGTCCGCCTAAGATGACTCTGGTTTAATAATTGTTCACATCTCTACAGGCGCACCAGGCCCTGGCAGTCTCCTAGTCAGATCTGGGTCCTATACAGGTCTTGATCCCTATACAGATGTAAGGTACGGGCACAACTTGTTTTACATCCACCAAATCCCCCCGTAAGGCTTCCGCCCTGTGGATGGAGTTCCCCATATAAACTCGTCCCCAGATGATTTATATTAAGTCTAAAGATCCCCCGGTAAGTCGCTTACTTATGGGTAGGGCCTGGTAGTTCTCCCCGACGGGAGCAGTAAAGAAAACCGTATGGCAACTCCAATGACCAGGACGGCGCTGGAACTAATACGGCACATGGGACTGACTGCGAAGGAACTGACACGCTTGGCACGCGATTGCACGTATATATCTCACGGGCCACCAACCTGGTGCCACCAGCCACAGTGCACAACAGGTCCCGCCGATGTCAGGGAATGAGCCCTGGGCCTAACTACGATGGCTCAGAATTAACACGCAAACTGCTATTGCGCCGCAATACTAATATCATATAGGCCTATTTTCAAGATGTACTTTGCATCGGGGAGATGTTAATTTAAATTATGTTTGGGTTTACCCAACGTATATATTTATAAATATATAGGTCAGGTGAGGGCAAAACCCGTAATTAAAATCATATAAGCCTACTCATTTCAGTGTCACAGACATGAGTCAACTGCGTTCCTGGATGATTTTTTTTCCATGAATCCGCAATGCTACATTGTTGAGGAAGCCCATTACTCCAAGGTAAATTCACTGATTGCTCCTGGCAGTTAAAAACTGCTTTTTTTAAGAGATAGAGAACCTGTTATGCCTGTTTCCCACCCTGACTCTGTGGATGTTGTTCCCTTATCACGAACGCCCTATAATTCATAGATTTTATGCAAGATAAATTACAAGATCTTCGATCTAATAATTGAAAATGCCGAGCTGTTTTTCTCAATTTTTTGCAAAGCATTTGACTCAATTTGAAACAAGTCTGTGGAATGTCAGTTGCAGTGAATATTATAGAATGTTGAACATCTTGTACCGTGGACGACTCGTATTCAGGACATCTCGTACCCAGTGTGGGAGTCTAACCTGTCTCCCGGTCTCAGCAGTCTCCTCCTGAAGTAGCCAGACATTAAACGGACGACTTTCCCACTGTTGTGCGCAGTGATGGCATGACGTATTTTTACCATATTTGGTAAGAGGGACCACTGAGACCGGGGGACAGCTCAGACCACCACACTGCAACAACTTATACCCTGGACAACTCATACCTGGGATATGTCATACCAAGGACATCTCATAACCCAAGAGAAAATGCATTTTATCATAGCTTGTGGCGACATTATGTCAGAATTGCTGTTTAATATATCAAATATGAGTTTTGATTGCTGATAATACAGCCATCTATTTTGTGTTTATCAGATTTTCTTCTGTTAGCACTCCAAATTACTAGGCCTTTTTGAAATTGTTGAAATAAGAACCAACTGAGAATGGAAACAAACATGGAAAAGCATTTCACATGATTTTCTTTCTTTATTTAATATTTGACAGCAATTAGTTACAGGCATTGAATCAATTTCTTTTTGGAACATTTGTTGCTCTGAAAAATGCCGTTTGGTTTATTCAGGAGACAAGCCTGGAAAGGTACTTGCTGGGTACAAGAAACCTCAAAGTCTCAATCTCCCCAACCTCGTAGCAGTCCCACAGTTGAAAGAGGTATCCCTGGACCTCCAAAGTCGTCTTTGCTGGTGATGCTGAATGTTGGCTTCCTTGACGAGCTTCAGTGGAGCTTGATGAGCAATGCCTCTTGGTAGAGATGATTGATAATGCTGTGCAGCTGTACATTTGTGCTGCCCCACTTTACTGTTGATCCTCCTGTGCCATCTTTCAACGTTGTTGTTCATCAGGATGCTCCTCATAAAAATGACCGGTTTTCCAGTGCCCAGTATTGCATTATATTGTTTTTCATTTTCTCTTTCTCTTCTCTCCCTGTAGACCTCTTGCACAAATGGAAAAGCTTCCCATGTCACCACACGGTAGTGTTGTGGGGACCAGTATTGACTTTGACAAACTGGAGAAGAGGTTTGAACAACTTAGGAATAGCAACAATTGTGACCCTTAACAACCATTGAAAGGGTAAAAATTCCTTTATTTCTTCACATTTATTTTTAGCAGTAAACTGTAAACAATATACTTTTGTCATCCTTCCATCATTCTCGCCTTTTTTTGTGGCTTTTGTGCAAATTGCAGGAACAGTCATTTTTAATCAAGAGCTTTTAAAGCATATTCACCACCAAAACAATTATCGCTTTTTTAATTTGGGGGGGGGCATTTCTGCATAAATATCAAGTAGGAACATTTCACATTTGTTCCATTTTTTCTGTTTTTTTTTCTTTTCCACTTAAGCATAAGTGGAAGAGCATTGTTCAAGTTCTGTTTGTGTTTTCTTTTGTTGCCTCCAAATTATTTGGAACTTTTATAGCCTATAATGAATCTTAATATTTTCTGCTTTATTAGACTCTTCCTCATTCCCTAATCAACCTTGGTAGTTTGATCTGTCTGATTGACTTCAGCCTTGATACCAACTTAGACTACCAGCGACAGATGGCCCCACAAAGAAATTTTCCATTGTGATATCATGTCATTATGACCGTTGGGCTATGGCCTTTTCATTTACCATGGGAATGTAACCAATTGTTTTAAATTGTATATTCAAGCAAAAACAAACACAAACATGGCTGGTGAAGTCATAGCTGAATGTATTCATGAACAAGAAGCAAAATCACCAGGCTATGCTAAGATATTGCTTGGGTATTTTAATTGATGTACATTTTCATCCTACATATAATAGAGCAACTCTTGACTTTACTTTGGAAACATCAACAGGACATGCAAATCAAAATCGGTCTACAGCTTGGCATGTGAGATCACAACAATATTCCATTATTGCCGGCATACGGGGAAAAAAAAGAGGGTAATAAACTGATAAAGAAACCTGCCAGATCTGGTCTACTGACATGAGCTAGCAGCTTCATTCTTGTTTCGATGTCAGTGACTGGAATGTGGTCCTGGATTTAGTGTGCTCAGTGATGAAATCATGAAGACTGTGACAAGATATCATTCCAACTATGGTGACAAAGATTTACCCTTACAACAAACCTTGTGTATCTAGGGAATTAAAAGTATTAACCACTTGCTGTCAGGTGCTTTTTTTAACTGTTACATGCGCTGCCGGGTGTTTTTTTAATATTTTCGTTTTTCAAAAATCTTCAAAAATTCATATCTTTTTTTTCTGAATGCCTAAACCCCACAAAATGAGTGTCCCGTGGTGAGTCTAGCCCTCAAAACCAACTTCCATTGATCCTTCGGTTTTGCGGCCACGCCGCCCGCTCTATATAGAGCCCCCATTGTGTGCGTTACATAAGGGCTCGTTTGTTCCGGGCCTTGGCCCAGTGCGTCGCTATGCTGCCGTGTTGCTATGCGGAGCGATTGACGGAAATTTGGGCAGTATCCACGGCTAGTTCCCATAGAATCACGCATGATATCAAGCCGCAGCCAGCCGATTCGGACACGGCCTTCGTGTAAAGATAAATGAATGACGCCATCTGTTATGAGTGCCCGACTGAAATGTGTGGAGGCCTGAGGGGTTCCTTTACTGTACATATTACTCAATTCCACCCGTCAAAAACACGTTAAAATTATGCGGTTGCAGAATTCCTGTCGATCAAGTAAGTTTGGCGGTTTTTGGAAATCGTTTTATGCAAAATAAAACAATTCTTGATTTTACCGACGCGCATGTGTGCGGCAACGCGCGCAGTGATTAGAAACCGGAGACTTGGGGGTGAGACTGATGGTAAGCCATCAGTTCTGCATCATAGATTTTTCAGCGTACTATGTCCACAATTGTCGCTGACCTCAAAGGTGTCACCCGCCTGCAGAACATGATTAGCGTGTGAGAGCAGTACTACAACAACTTCAGAAAGCTGGCCTAATCCTCATCGACAGATGCGAATTCTCAAAGGCCACTGTTATTGTTAAGTTCGTGAGTCGTATTTGATTGATACATCTGGCCTTCATCTGACCAAGGTAAGACTACAGCCATTGAAAAATTCCCAGACCAATCTCATAACTGCAACGAGTCATGGGAATGGTGAATCAGCTTAGGAGATTCACCCCCGGTTGGCAGCAATCAGTGAGTCGCTACGCCAGCTGTTACGCAAGGACACAGCCTGGTATAGGGTTGACGCTCAGCAGCAATCCTTTCAGCAGGTAAAGAACTTGCCCATTTCATCCGAAGTACTTACCCACTTTTCGACCCAAGGGGCCTCCTTTTGTTGCTTCTGACACTCCTGGGTCCATTTTGCTACAACCCCAAGGTGATGGAAAATGCCGTCTAGTTTGCTACGCATCCTGCTCGCTCAACGAAACAGAGAAATTCTCTGACTACATACCATTCATCCTTGAACAGACCACAGGCCACCTGTGCCCCTTCTTCAATGGACAGAACTGTTCAAAAAGCCGCTTTCGCCTACGTCTTATGAGCTTTAGCCCAACAGTCCAGTATGAACCACGCAAGCATTCAGAGTACGGCCGGTGCATTATCGTGTGTCACCTGTTGGTACACCAGAGAAAACTTGACACTACGCTGATTGCAGAAGTTGAAAGTTTTGCTATGGGGACAATGACGATACTTCCGGCGAGGACACAACGACTACTTGACATCACAACAGCCCAAAGATCTGATGAAGAATGCACACAAATCAAAGAGTACTGTCTGCATGGTTGGCCGGCATACATGCTGCATACACCACTACCAGTACCAGGAGAACAGACGTCATCTCACTGTTCTCATCAATCTTGCTATCCGCAGTTCTTCATCACTCAGGAATATTGAGATCTTTTCATACTCCTCTCCCTGCCCCTGATTAATCTAGGTGCGGCCCTGACCCCTTTCGGGCTCCGGCACACAAACACAAATCCTCTTCGGCTTGACAATGGGTCTGGAGGACCCGGTACCTCTTAACCATTTTCATATTGAGGCGCCTACAGTCCACTTACTGACTAGTTCTTCTGGCCAAAATTGCGACATGATCGATATTCCGGTTTCACAAGGAACCTCATCCAGTCACGACTTCACTGGCAGATGGTACGGAATCATCTTGTTTAATTAAAACCTCCCAACCCAAGATGGATTTTTGGGTGGCAACTTTCTTTCTAGCCCGTCCAGGTTTACACTGGGTGTTTTCCGTCCTGACTTTCTAGGTCTCTGTTATTGGGAAGTCTCTTCAACATCCGGGACTCCAGGCAACCTCAGGCCCGTTGCCTGACCAGAGACTGGGGGGAGGGGTTTGTCAACCCCCAGAGGGCAACTTTTGACCTTGTGAATACAAAGAACTATCATAATGTACTTTGTGTAGAGATGCCCCGTTCAGATCCCCATCGTTGTTCAATTGTTTCCCAGGAAGCACAGGGACGTCGGGACGACGTCTGAATTTAGCCAGCACATGACAGTAGAAGAGGCATTTGCAAATCCCCTCGACATCGGTAACATGTCGTCAGCCCCGGATAAAGGACTGACGTTGTACCGACTTACCCTTTTAGGGCCACAGCTCGACGTCTTTCCTCGTACAGCCACTGACCAAATTCCGTTATTCCTGCTGATAGAGGGCCGACCTTGTAACGTTGGTCATTGTACCAACGTTTTGAATGCGTCGTACCGACATAAAAGCTCTGACCTTCACCTTACGTTGTCCCAATTCCCGTATTCCGCCATTTACCAACTTCATAAATTCGGTTGTACCATGGTCAGCAACTGCTTTTGGATTGCCATTTGCTCCTCTGCTAAATTGGTGTTTGACTTTCCAGCCGTCCGTACCCAAAGCGATTGGGTGGCTGCCTTTGGCGAAGCGACCATTTATGTCTTTGTTCCTGGCTAGGAGATGACTCCTCAACAGTCGACTCATCCGAAAAAGAGTAGGCACAAGAACAGGCTTCCGCAGGAGGGGCGGGGATTTCGTCCACCTTCACAGAGTCAACACTTTCTGCAGACTCTTCTTGAGGGGATCTGGCTGGCACATAATCCCTCACTTGTTCCTCAGGGATGAACTCAGGGACCTCCAGGTTTAGCTGTCCACCAGTTGATCTCTGTTGCTAGTAGATCTGTGTCTAGTTCGTGGGGCTTGCATCGGACAGGTCTCATCACGAATTATCACAGTTTGCAACGAAGACTCTTGACTCTCTGAAGTTGTTGAAGAAGTGCTCATCATTAGGTTTAGCCCTGGGGTTGCATCTTCACGTCTTGGACATTGCTATGGTGAAACCCTTGGAGGGGCTAAGGTGGAGCTATATTCATTTCACGTTGGGCATCGGGAAGATATCCACATGGTGGCAGCATCCTGCGATCAAGTGTTCAAACTGGACCCCTCATCCTCAGGTCATAGAACAGATACTGGCATATCATCACTGATCCTCCTTATGACTCTCTCTCTCTCTTCAATCGCTTCCTCACTTCTACCCAACGTTGTTCCACCTTCCATATCCAGCCTTATAACCGACTTCATGAATTTGTCGGCCAAGTGCTTAAATGTTTGTTACGTCGCTCTGATTGACATTCAGCCAATCAAACATCAACCTACAAAATGTACACAATGGCCATCTCCACCCAAGCAGCCCGTTTCACAACAGATTTACTGTCACTTATTCAACAATCATAATGCAACTCCATTAAAATTAAATACAGCAACCTTCACATTAAATACATACAAGTACATTTACATGTATCTTCACTCCATAAGAACCCCCTGAGAATGGGGACTTATGCATTTTGAACATGTCTTTATATTTGGACGACAAAAAGTATGCGTGTACATGTATTCGGTCTACTCAACAACACTTTTAAATGAACGAACACGGGAAAAATATTAATAGTTATGTTCAGGATGGAAATGTAGACCCGTGTTCAACAACGTTAAATGTTTTCCTTATAAACTTTACAGTACATGCTTTCAATACGGTCATCGCTGTAAGATTGTTCATGAAAATTATAACCATATTATGGGTACCTGTAAGGACATTCTTTCTCCGGGACAAAATCTGTGCACGAACAATACAAATCTGTGCAAAAAAAATTCAAAGGAATGCAGCACTGTTTAGGGATAGACCCCTATGCATACGTTTGTAAAATCTGTTAGAAATTAATCACTTTTACTCTTCACGCAGGTGTCCAAAATGAAGCCAAGGATACACAGTTGTGGAATGCAATAACAGGAGCCAAAGTTCAACCGCGCTTATTGCTGGGACTTCCAGTTCAATAAAGTGCTTTGAATTTAGTATAATTTGTGAACATTTTAAGTGGTACATCCAATTTCATGTAATCTTAATACTTGTTCATGGATAAATTTTATAGTAAGGAAGGCTTACATACTGTGTATTACTTCCTCATCCTTCTTTTCACACATACAAATATGGAAGGATCAGGAGATCAGAGACCATGTCTCTGATCATGCAGTATACATGCAGTATAAACATGCAGTATACACCGTTAAACATGAATTCCTTGAGAAATATATTTAATCTAACATTTTCACTAAACAGGATTGCCATTTCTTTCCAACCAGGTCTATGCCGTCCTCAGCATATTGAAATAGCAAACTTGATCACTGTTCTTTTGCCTATAAGTAAAATGCCCTCTAAACTGTCTGAACACACAGGGATTGCATAAAGCCAAGCCTGTTAGACAGCCCTCGAAATCTCTGCACATAACACAACTGGTCCTCTTCTTGTGGGGCCATCTGCAGTTTACGTGTTTTTATTTCTCGACAAATAGAACCGGGAAGTCTCCCGGCAAAGTGAATAACAGCTGATAATGAAAGTTGTCAGGCAAGACAATACAGTGATAAGAGTGATGTTCTGAAACGCCGAGGATGGCACAAATCTGTGAGTTATATATAGTGTAAGAGAGAGAGAGAGAGTCGTTTTCAAGGAAACAATTTTATTCCATGGGCTTTGGGGCTTTGATCCTTGATATAATATATACCCATGGGTGGGGCAAGCACAACCATATAATTCAAGAAAACAACCTATGATTACCTGTGCATGAAATGTCACTGGACAAATTTTATAAACATTTATTAATGTTTACAGTATTTTAGGGGCATTTTTTAGTGCATCCTTATTGTGATCCATCTTGTAGAATTCACACGAAATTATTTGATTTACTGTGATCTTCTTAAGAGCTCTGTGGAATCTTGCACTAGAAGGTGTAGCAGTCATGCAAACACAATTTGTTGGTGCCTCAGTCAGGCTGCCTCTTTGTCTTACCTCTTGACTGATGTATTTGTAAAACTGCATAATAAAAAAAAATGAAGGACAAATGACATGTTTTTGTTACAAACCCCCATTTTGAGTAAATAGTGGGGTTTAACTACCTGGTTATGTTCTACTGATTACTGGTCTTAATTGTCGTGTCTGTTATTTAAATACTCTTCTCTGGGCACATGTACGGTGTTACAATGTATATTGTTGGCTGCTGGTGATCTACATAGCCTTTCTGTGGGGCCTCAAATGTTCTGCATCTTGTACCAAATTATATGTTAATCTCTCTATCTCCGAGTAGGCCTCGGCCCTATGCATCCGTTGGAGCAATCATGACATGACTGACCTGACAAATAAGGCAAAATCGTCGTGCCTAAATTGCTGAGCAAAACTAGCTAACTGGTCCTATGAAGCCCCCTATGGAAAGGGAACTCCAACTAACGTTAGTACTAACAAGCAACATGACCTATTCCCCAAATTTCAGAAAAGTCTGGATTTTCAAATCGATGGGGATTTGCAAAACACGTTCAATAATAATTCACAAAAGGGGACTCTATAATTGATAAATAAAATAAGAATGAAAACTTTAAATTTATGGCCCTATGATGTGGACATCAACGCGAAGATTTAACGTTGAACATTCCACTCGGCATGAATATTCTATGGAATTCCATGTCGGCCGTTGTGCGTCGTCCGTATTTTTGGGGGGGGTCGCGATGTGCAGTGGTATTTGTAACTTTTACCCTTGATTGTTTCACATGTACATGTACTTGCTTGATCGATCCATAATGCCTGACCTCTCATTTTAGCAGTAGGTGTTCAAGAAGTAGAAGATATATTCGTTTTTGCAGTTGGACCAAACTCCACTTGAAAAATATATCCTTTCATTTTTAAAGACTGACATCGGTAAAGTGACGTGTATATGAAATAATACCATTTTTATTACATAAATAAAATAACATAATAGACCTGTCCCTCCACGATATTCCCACATAGCGGAATTTAAATAAAAAATTATTTACAATGTTTGATTCCTTAATATTTTTCATAAAGGACGAACTGATTCAACATTATTTTGAGAGCAGGTATACCTATAAAACCTGCTGTATACTCCAAATTAGTCATGACTTTAGTGGCAGGTAACCCGCCGCTGCTTGTTTCTAGTTCGGGTCAAGCAATGGACGAGGAAGAGCCTGTTTCAGTAAATGATCTGTCTCCTTCAAGAGTTCCACCTTCGCCTGCTCCAACGTGAAACGACTGGTTGATAGTCGGACGCTCCGAAGTCGAGGCTGCCTTGGCGACCAAGACAACATTCGACCTTGCATTTGGCCTGGGTTATTTAATCAACCAGACCAGACTGGTGACTGGTCCAGACTGCCCCTGTCACAAACACCGACTTTCCTGGGGCAGTTTTCGACCTGAACAGCGGCATTGTTACTTCCATCAACAAACGAGTGGACGATCTCACGCAGTGCGTCGCTCTGTTCTGTGGACAACGGCAAGTGAAGGCCCGGGCATGGCTTCACTTACTCGGCCTGATGGCCAGTCTGATCGAACTCGTCCCGTGGTACCGCTCTGCGATCGCGGCGGTGCAAGCGGGCTTCACTGATGGGTCTTCGATATCTAACAACACAGCGCTTACGGGAAATATTTATTGAACGGCCTCCCGTGAAGCATCTTACTCCCCAGCAGGCCGTGCCTCCCTCCTGCACACCTCAGCATCAAAATGGCATTCTTACTTGCTGTGATATCTGTTTATGGAAGAGCTGGGAATTTGAATCGTTCGATTCTGAGGGGCTTTAAATAACCTGACACCTTGTGCTTTGTTCAGGTTCTTGTGCAACTCTGCCCCGGTATTTGAACGTTCGAGCGTCCTGACGCTGGAATGTTAAGGTACTGACTTCTGTTCAGTTTGCGTAAGGCGGCAAGGGTGAAGCTTCTTCTTGCATTAATCACTTTGTCTTCGTGTGTTGTTGTATTGGCTTTAAAGAATTTCTTTTCATCTGCTGATGAAGCTGTAATTGGACTTGTGGATTCCTGAGCGTCCACCCTTTTCGCAAATTCTTGAATAGCATTGATTTTCTTTGTTATGGGTAATTCTACTACTTTTGTGAACATTTGCATCTGATTTGCAAGCACTGTGGTCGCTTTGGCAGTTTCATTTGTGCCCGTTTGGTTTTGCCCGCTTTCGTATGAGACTGAGAGGTTCATCTGCGTATTTAAAATTTATCAATTTTTGTCTACTTAAGATTGTAAGACGGGGCTGTCATGGAGACCATGAATATACAAACCCTTTTTCCTCTCTTATCATCGCGAATCCCAAGCAGGCAGCAATTCCTCTTGTCAGCGGCCCTGCGCCTACATTGTTAACAGCCTGTGGGTCGTCGGTCCCCGGGGTAGCTACAGAATACGCGGGATCATATATTCATTACTAGTAAACGTGATTAATTGCATTACACGTCGTCGCTGTGAAGAACTGTACATCAGAGAGACAAAGTGTCACCTTGGTGACCGCTTCGCGGAACTCTTTCGTAGCACACCAACACCTGGTTTCACTTTTGCGTGCCTAAGTGACATAAACGTCTGATTCTTGCAGAAAGCATCATCTGATGTACAGCGTAAGGAACTGGAGCAGCGCGTCATTTTTGAACTTGAAACGCTGCATCCGGGGGAATGAACGGGATTTTGCCGCGTTCATTCAGAACTGAATCCGCTTCCCCTGAACTTCTTCAGTTACCGAAAGCTCGGCAGTCACATAATTCAGAGCATGATTTGATATTAAATTCTTGTCAATATTTCAAAAGTAATTATTTTCTCAGGTGGATCATCGAACTTTTGCCATCGCTCTGTTTTTTTACCAGGCTTTCTTCATCGATCAAACAAGATCGATCGGTGTAGGAAACAATCGATCGATTGATGTGTTGCCTTCAAGTTTTTGCCTCTATGGTGTGCCATACCTCGCCATACCACTTATTAATTCTCAGGGTGACATATTCCCGAGAATGTTAAGTTGACATGGATGCATGAGTTGCCATTGTTTTTAATATCTTTTGGAAAGAGATCTTGGAATCTTACAAAAGGAAACTGATTATTTTAAAATAGTGTTCATCTCTTATACCTGTATATCTGTTCACAATTTTCTTTTCAGTAATGCTGAAATGCTCATTTTTTACATATGCGAGCGAGAGTGGATACACTCTCATTGGGTATAAAAGAACAATTCTAAAGGTCAAACGCTCTCTTCTTTGCCACAATGACTATTATACAAGCAAACATAGGCTCCACAGCAATTTGGTCCTTGGCCTTTAGTTAAAGGCTAGTAACTCAGTTCCACTGCTGTTGCTGTTCCATTGATCTTGAAACATCCATCTTCGCCATTGAATGGACCGTAGAATTCGTTAAGTGATTGCACTGAGTGTAGCCATGTGACTGTTGTCCCTTTTCGATTTTGGAGGGACAGCACTGCTCTCTTGCATTACCACGCAGTTCAAGTCCATTGACTATTCTCAGCTCGGTGGCTGCCAATGAATTTTGGGATGTATCGATTCCCTCCATTCTTTATTGCAGAATTACGACTGACCGTGTGTTCTAAGGAAAGGCCAATAGCCGATCTGCTGTAACATTTCTTTGAAAGTCGAATGGATAATGACCCCTTTCTCCAGTATTTCACGCAACTTTGAGTGGGAACTATTTTGTGAAGGTCCCAGTGGCTATCCATTCCTCGACACCGGTGTAACCCATTACTGTTTACAGTATTGTTTCAGCACTTGGGGGCACTCTTTAAGACTCCCATAACGAGGTCAAGAGAAAGTTCATTGACTGAACAGCCATTTTCTCACATGCTTTGCCCAAAGTTTCAGTAGACTTTCGAAGTTTTCTTCTTCAGATCACACAATTCACAGTGAAATTAGACCATCATTAATTGAGAGCCCTATTCAGGAACACATTCATGTAGGTTTCTTTATATTGTTATTGTTTTTTAAAATTTAGATAGCTGTGAAGCCATAACTTGTAAGCTTATTTTAGCACGTGTCTTAAGTTTAGGCCAACAAGTTAGCTATCATAGACAAGACAATTTGTGATACATTTGTCTTTCAGGCTTTACAACTTACCGGCCCCAGTCGTGGCCCTATGGATTCCCAGATTGAATATAGATAGTTCTAGTGTTATAGTCATGTT